GTGTGGGGTGGTGGGAGAAAGCCGGTGACACGGCAAACCAGCAGGAGCTGGTCTGGTCTGGGCGTGCGGGCAAAGACCGTGGCCACGGGTGGCTCTGGGGGGTGAGAACAAAGGTGTGAGGGGAGCCCTGGTGAGGCATCACGTGGCCCCAGTGTGTGTGGGGCCTTGGGGTGGCCGTGCCAGGGTCAGGGTGGTCTCACCTTGTCTCTCCAGATCAGCCCTCCCGTACCTGCACAGGGCGAGGATGTAGCTCTGGCAGGAGATGGAGAGGATATGCTCCACCATCCCCGTGACGGCCTTATTTCTGGTGAGGGACTTGCTGACCAGCTCTGCTAGCAGGGATTGCTGCTGGGGCTCCCAGCGCTGCCTCTTCACCTCAAAAGCTAGGAGGTCTCTTCCGCCCTCCCCGACATTGATGAAGCCCCAGCTTGTCCCGTTGGGGTGCAGTACACAGCCTATATGGATCTGAATGACGAATGGGTCTGCCAAAGACAGAGCCGGTGGAGAGGTCCTGTGAGCGTGTGGGACATGGGTGGCATGAGGTGGGATGTGGCTGGAGGCATGTGCAGGGGTGCCATGGACAGCAGGCACAGAACAATGCTTCAGGAAGCCCCAGGACAACCTGAAAGCCCTCAGTCCCCTTGGAATGTTGGAGTGGATATGGGGCCAGTTAGCATAGGGCGGTTGCTCAAGCAGAGTGTTGCCCCCCAAAATGTGCTGTGCTGTGCAGGTCCTACAGACCCAGTAAATTTGGTGGCAGTTCCCTGGTGTGAAGAGGGGTTCACCTGTGCCAGACAGCAGGAGGCCTGTGGGGTGGTTTTGGTGTGCTGCCCTCCCCACCCTTGCTAGCCACATGCCCCATCAGCAGCAGCATTTCCCTTTCAGGAGCTGTGGTACCTGGTAAGACCCCACAAATACCACCCCAGTGGGGAGGAGGGCACAGCTGGGACCCAGGGAAAGGGGCTGTACTCACAGTCCACGTGCACCTGTTGGGTTGTTTCGTGAATGTATCGGACCATATTGCGCAGAAAGAGTTTGTAGTGGGACATGATCTTCTCCGCATCACCCTCAGCTGCGGCCTGGCGGGCCCAGGGCTGGTGGAAGTGAAGGCTCCAGTTGACAGGATCTATTGCAAAGATGGGCACATCCCCCAGAAGAGCTACTGCAGAAACCTCGGCAGAGCTGACATTGGTGAAGAGGCTGGTCTGGAGTGCATGGAAAACCTGTGTCTCTGCTGGGAAAGAGGATGGGGATGGGAAGGGCTGCAGGAAAGGGGAGATAAGTGGGGGGGCTGGAGGGGAAACAGGGGGTTCAGACTAGATATAAGTAAGAAATTTTTTATGATAACGGTGGTGAAATACTGGCCCAGGTTGCCCAGAGAGGTGGTGGAGGCCCCATCCCTGGAAACATTCAACGTCAGGTTGGAGAGGGCTCTGAGCAACCTGGTCTGGTTGAAGATGTCCCTGCTCACTGCCGGGGGCTTGGGCTAGATGGCATTTAAGTGTTCTTTCCAACCCAAACCACTCTGTGATTCTATGCTCTTCATCCCACACCATGGGGACCTCCAGCAGCCTGCACTTGGCCCTGCCTGGGCAACCCCCCAGCCATGTCTTCCTTGGACTCCCAGCTCACCACCTGCTCAGGGTTGCTTTCCTGTCTGAACTGCCTCTGCCACTACTGATCTTTTTCCTGCTCTACTTTACTTTCAGTGAGGTATTTCTCTCCCGTAAAGGATTTCAGGCACTTCATCCCCTCCCCTCCCTGCCTCCCTCCTGCCCAGCACCTCCTGTCTGTCTGTGCAGAGCAGATGGTGGGGGATATCTCAGTGCTTGTTTGCCAGGACCTGGATCTACCAGAGACCTGCACATGGCACAGAGGACGTGGAGGATGGAGGAGGGGAAAGGGCATTTTGTCCAGGTGTGGGAGCTCCTGGGCATCAGGAACTCAAGGAGACCAAACCCTGACAGGGAGGAGAGTAGCCCAGCCGAGAGATCAGCCCTGTGTTCCAATGCCTGCCGCTGCCTTCCCCCAGCCCCCGGAAATGTGAGGTCTCACCGGGTTGTGGTGAAACACCCTGTGCGATGGCAGTGCCTGAAACACCCTCTCGTAAGTGCAGCTCCCCAACAAACAAGGGGCTGCTGGAAGGGCCCCACAGCACCATGTGGAGCTGAGACCCTCCCCCCCCTGCTGGTGCCCATGGGCTTGCTGCAGGAGGAAGGCACCTTCGGGGGATCCCCAACACTCCAGGTGTGGCTGGGAACCCCTGGCCCCACTTCTGCCTGGGTGCCCGAGCCCCTGTGCTGGGGCATGAAGCCCTGAGCTGGAAGCAGGAACAGAGAGGGTGGACAGGGACAGGGCACC